TTTATTTTGTGTTGAATTCCATGAAAAGATGCAAGACTTGTATATAGTTGTTATAAAGATAGATACTTATTTATTTTTGAGTTATTTTGAAGAAAATTGAAAGAATTGGAGAATATTAATGTTGTTAAAAGCCACTCGCTTATCTCTACTCGGCTAGCGAGAGCTTGACAATACTACCTTAGTCAAGAAGCCTAATGAGTTGAAAAAAGTCACGTGTCTGAAAAGCAACCTCTCGCCCAAGAGAGGATTTAGTGGTCCAAGAAAACACTTTTTGGTGAACCATTTAAAGTGTTGAGAGTTTTTTGGATGTGGGAATGAACCAGACTCTCAAGACAAGGGTTGAGGCAGTTATAGGGTTGAAGAACTCCGTCTTCCTTCATCCTTTTCATCACTCCAATCCATTCTTGTTTTCTAGATGTATAGGAGTAGCTAAATTCCATTTCATTGGGGTTGGATGTAAAGTACCTAAACTCTTTGTAGTTCTTTCTATGCAATAGAATATCTTTCATATTTCTTGTGTTCTATTCGTTTTATTCACTTGCATGATGGAATATCTATGCTATTTTATTGGTATCTAATAATTGGAAAATGCTTTGGAACCTAGACATGGATAAAACAACCAAGAGGCTAGGCTTTAGACATAAACCAAGGCTTTGGGTCATTAGACATCTTTTCTTAATGTAAATCTTGTGTTTGAATATCTAAGGGATTAATATTTTCACATAAATATTTAGAACTTGTCTATAAGGAATTAGGGCTTGTATACTTGTGATGTTAATGCTTGAATATGTTATAAATATATTGTGTGGATGAATGCATAAAATTTTTTGGATCATGGAATCCAACTCCGATGAGTCTTTGCCCACATCACTTTATAATCTTTATATTTATTTGTTTATATTCATTGCTTAAACTTGTAAGTAATTATAATTAACAAACACAAATATTTTGGGAAACGATATTTGGACTTACAATCTATATTACTTGCACGTTTTGGTGCATTTGCCAATGAGTTAACACCTTTCCGAAAACAAACATTTGAACATCATTTGCATGAGGTTTCTTTCTACTTCGCATGATGGTTCCCTATGATTTTCATTTCCCGAAATAAACTGGTTGGATTAGTTGTTGTTTGAGGCTGATAGTACTTTGTTGGTGACAAAATTCATGAAAATAGAAAAATAAAGGAAAAAAAAAGAATGAAGGAGGAGGAAAAAAATGAACTAGATCGTAATATTTATTGACATATTATATTGATAAATATTTTTGTTGGTAATTACCGATGAACATTACCGATCAATTTTATCCATCAATATTTTCTTTAGTATTTAGCGATAGAACAAAAATTGAACATTACCGATCAATTTTATCCATCAATAAAATTTACTGATAAATATTTTTTCGACAAATTTTTGTCATCAGTACAATTTTAACTTTTGATAATATTACTTTTCTTGCAGTGGTATAAGCACTTTTGCTATACTTCTGATTATATTTTGGTTTTATAATAATTTGAATTTATCGTATCACTAATGCTCAACTTTTATCTTTGTGTTCGATGATATCAAAATACCCATAAATTTCTCATTCTGTCACTAATTGCAAGTCATTTATATTGATCTAAAGTACTTTAGCATTCTAATTTATGAGTATCCTCCAACAAGTTGACTTTATCCTTCCAAATCCGGAAACCTCTGTATTTTATTATCCTCTCAAATTTGCAATACTTCAAAGGTTTGTTTTCTTTTTTCTTTTTTAGTTGCATGAATTTCCAACTTGTCAATTCAGCCTATATATTAAATTCAGGTTTCTCCAACAAAATTCGCATTTCTAACACCATACTCAACCGCTCTTATTATTTTTGGGATGTAGCATTCATTGTTTGATGTTGATGCTTGTAAGTGTGTGAATTAAATTCATGATAAGAAAATTTGTAGACTGAAGTTGATTTTCTATGTATAGAACCAATGGTGAACTTCATTAGGGTAAATGCACCCTGTGTTTTAAAAAATAAAACAAGAACAAAAGATCATAACAACGTAAAAAAATGTTTTTAGGATTTCAAAATGTTTTCTTATAAACATTTTATACATGAAGTGAATATCAAATAGCCCGGTGATTAGGTTTCTCTTAGCATCGTTCAGCTAAGAAGGCTCCAACTTATAAACTAAATGTTAAGATTGAGTAGTCTACAATATTTTAAATTTGTGGAAATTAATTAATTGTAGAATTTATCTTTTCAATTAAGCTTAAACTAACCACTTTTTTCTTCACTTTCTTCAGTGCTGCAATCAGTTCTGTGTAGTGTTGTGCGTGAGAGATGGGAAATGTGTTGTGTGGGAGGGACATGATATAGTAGAAATGGTGTTGCGTGGAAGGAGATATGAGAAAGTGTTATGCGTGGGGAGGAGATGGAAGAAAATGTTTAGCAAATAGATTGTGTGAAAACTCAAATGTGATGCCTTTATTTAATCTTCACTCAAAATCCAACAACCCCTAACTTTAATTTCAAACCTAATTCTAATTTTCTAGACCTAATTTCAATTCAAACTATTTTAATCAATTTTGTTGAAGAACATAAATAGCTAATTAATAGATAATACTTTTTTAATTAAGAAAGCTATATATTGATATCATTATACATAGCATTCAAATCTAAAAACACTATCGATTGGTATATCAAAAAAATAGTATTTTTTTTGAAAAAATAAATAAATCAAATATAGATAGCATCTTTCAAATGAAGCCTTTTGTATGTGTAGTCCATTTTTTTTTCGTAAAGTTCTATGTTTTGATTTCGTGTTTTAATTCCATGCATTTAATTAAATAAGGACTCTTTAGAGGGCGTTGTCTATTGATAATTTTACAGGGGTGATCCTCTTTTTTCACATTGTCTTAATATTTTTCTGTTGTAGAATTCATTCATTATCAAAAACAACATTCGTGGTATCTCTTACCTCCACTAGTGGGGTATATAATAAATAATATTATTTAGGTTAAATAAAGTTCTATTAAGTGGATAACATTCCACTACTTTGTGTTCATATAAGGATGACAACATACTCTTTAGGAGTTAACATAACTTGTTCATAAATTATCTAATTATGGTCTTTAAGATAATTCTTAATGCCAAATCCACGAGGCTTTCCATTTTATTTATCACTAGGCTTGTCATCGTAATCTCAAGGAGCTTCACCATTATAACCATGAACAAGGTTGTCTCCATAAACACCATTTCCATGTCCACTTCCACAATTACCGAGTCCACCATCTCTTGATTCACCTCCATGAGATTTACCACCTCCATGATCGCCTCTGTAATCACTGGGTCCACCACCAGGTTTATCACCTTGATGGTCGTCTCCATTGGGTCCATTGTCTGGTTTATTACCTCCATGGTTGTTTCCATAGTCACCGACTCCACCACCACCTCCAGGTTTATCACTTCTATGATCGCCTCCATAATCACCGGGTCCACCCCCTGATTTATCACCTCCATGGTTGCCTTTGTGGTCACCTCCATAATCGCCTGATCCTCCGCCTGGTTTATTACCTCCATGGTTGCCTCCAGAATCATCGTGTCCTTCACCTGGTTTATCACCTCCATGGTTGCCTCCATAATCACTGGGTCCATTGCCAGGTCTATCACCTCCATGGTTGCCTTCATAATTACCGGGTCCTCCGCCTGGTTTATCAGCTCCGTGGTTGCCTCTATAATCACCTGGTCCTTCGTTTGGTTTATCACCTCCATGGTTGCCTCCATAGTCATTGTGTCCACCGCCAGGTCTATAACCTCCATGGTTGCCTCCAAAATCATTGTGTCCTTCACCTGGTTTATCACCTCCATGATCGCCTCCATAGTTACTGGGTCCACCACCAGGTCTATAACCTCCGTGGTTGCCTCCATAATCATCATGTCTTTCGCCTGGTTTATGACCTTCATGGTTGTGTCCATAATGATCGGGTCCTCCATCTGGTTTATCACCTCCATGGTTTCCTCCATAATCATTGTGTTCTTTGTCAGGTTTATCACTTCCATGATCGCCTCCATAATCACTACGTCCATCGCCAGGTCTATTACCTCCATGGTNAAAATTCCATTTCACTTGGGGTTGGAGTAAAGGACCTAAACTCTTTGTAGTTCTTTCTATGCAATAGAACTTTCTATTATGTGTTCTATTCGTTTATTCACTTGCATGATGGAATATCTATGCTATTTTATGTGGGATTAATAATTGATAAATGCTTGGAACCTAGACCGGATATATAAAACAACAAGAGGCTAGGCTGTTAGACATTAAACCAAGGCTTTGGGTCATTAGACATCTTTCTTAATGAAATCTTGTGTTTGAATATTAATGATTAATGATTTCACATAAATATTTAGAACATTGGTCTATAAGGAAATTGGGCTTGTATACTGTGATGTTAATGCTTGAATATGTCTATTAATATATTGTGGGGATGAATGCATAAATTTTTGGGATCATGGAATCCAACTCCGATGAGTCTTTGCCCACCTCACTTTATAACTTTATATTTATTTGTTTATATTCATGCTTAAAACTGAGTAGATATAATTAAACAACACAAATATTTGGGCAAACGATATTTGAACTACAATCTATATATACTTGCACGGTTGGTGCATTTTGCGCAATGAGTTAACACTCTTGCACGAAAACAACATTGAACATCACTTTGCTGAGGTGTCTTTTACTTCGCATGTGGTTTCCCTATGATTTTCATTTCCCCCGAAATAAACTGGTTGATTAGTTGTTGGTTGAGGATGATAGTCTTTGTGGGATGACAAAATCATGAAAATAGAAAAATAAAGGAAAAAAAAGAATGAAGGGGAGGAAAAAAATGAACTAGATCGTAATATTTATGACATATTATATTGATAAAATATTTTGTTGGTAATTGACCGGATGAACATTACCGAGTCAATTTTACCATCATATTTTCTATGTATTTAGCTATAGATACGAACAACAATTTTCTCAATAAAAATTGATGATAAATCATTTTTCGACACAATTTTTGTTCAGTACAATCACTTTTGATAATATTACTTTTCTTGCACGGGTATAAGCACTTTTGCTATATCTTCTGCTTATATTTTGGTTTATTGAATAATTTGAATTTATGTATCATAATGCTCAATGTATCTTGTGTTCGATGATATCAAATACCCAATAAATTTCTCATTCTGCACTAATGCAAGTGCATTTATATTGATCTAAAGTACTTTGGAGCATTCTAAGATGAGTATCCTCCAACAAGTTGACTTTCCTTCCAAAGCCGGAAAACTCTGTATTGATGTATCTATCAAATTTGCATATCTAAAGTGTTTGTGCTTTTTTATTTTTTAAGTTGCATGTTGGAATTCCAACTGTCATTCAGCTCCCCATATATATAATCGTCAGGTTTCTCAACAAAATTCGCATTTCTAACACCATACTCAACCGCTCTTATTATTTTTGGGATGTAGCATTCATTGTTTGATGTTGATGCTTGTAAGTGTGTGAATTAAATTCATGATAAGAAAATTTGTAGACTGAAGTTGATTTTCTATGTATAGAACCAATGGTGAACTTCATTAGGGTAAATGCACCCTGTGTTTTAAAAAATAAAACAAGAACAAAAGATCATAACAACGTAAAAAAATGTTTTTAGGATTTCAAAATGTTTTCTTATAAACATTTTATACATGAAGTGAATATCAAATAGCCCGGTGATTAGGTTTCTCTTAGCATCGTTCAGCTAAGAAGGCCCTCAACGTTTAAACTAAATGTTAAGATTGAGTAGTCTACAATATTTTAAATTTGTGGAAATTAATTAATTGTAGAATTTATCTTTTCAATTAAGCTTAAACTAACCACTTTTTTCTTCACTTTCTTCAGTGCTGCAATCAGTTCTGTGTAGTGTTGTGCGTGAGAGATGGGAAATGTGTTGTGTGGGAGGGACATGATATAGTAGAAATGGTGTTGCGTGGAAGGAGATATGAGAAAGTGTTATGCGTGGGGAGGAGATGGAAGAAAATGTTTAGCAAATAGATTGTGTGAAAACTCAAATGTGATGCCTTTATTTAATCTTCACTCAAAATCCAACAACCCCTAACTTTAATTTCAAACCTAATTCTAATTTTCTAGACCTAATTTCAATTCAAACTATTTTAATCAATTTTGTTGAAGAACATAAATAGCTAATTAATAGATAATACTTTTTTAATTAAGAAAGCTATATATTGATATCATTATACATAGCATTCAAATCTAAAAACACTATCGATTGGTATATCAAAAAAATAGTATTTTTTTTGAAAAAATAAATAAATCAAATATAGATAGCATCTTTCAAATGAAGCCTTTTGTATGTGTAGTCCATTTTTTTTTCGTAAAGTTCTATGTTTTGATTTCGTGTTTTAATTCCATGCATTTAATTAAATAAGGACTCTTTAGAGGGCGTTGTCTATTGATAATTTTACAGGGGTGATCCTCTTTTCAATTGTCTTAATATATTGTCTGTTGTAAGAATTCATTCATTATCAAAAACAACATTCGTGGTATCTCATTACCCCACTAGTGGGGTAATAATAAATAAATATTTAGGTTAAATAAGTTCTATTAAGTGGATAACATCCACTACGTTGTGTTCATATAAAGGATGACAACAATACTCTTAGGAGTTAACATAAACTTGTTCATAGAAATTATCTAAATTTTTGGTCTTAAGATAATTCTAATGCAAAATCCACGAGGCTTTCCATTTTATTTAATATAGGCTTGTCATCGTGAATCTCAAGGAGCTCACCATTATAACCATGAACAGGTTGTCTCCATAAACAACCATTTCCATGTCCCACCTCCACAATTACGAGTCCCCACATCTCTGATTCACCATCCATGAGATATTACACCTCACCATGATCAGCCTCTGTAATCACCGGTCCACCAACCAGGTTATTTTTATATTGATGGTCGTCTCCATTGGGTCATTGTCTGGTTTATTACCTCCATGGTGTCTCCATAGTCACCGACTCACCAAACCACCTCCAGGTTTATCACTTCTATGATCGCCTCCATATCACCGGGTCCACCCACCTGATTTATCACCCAATGTGACCTTTTGTGGTCACCTTCCATAATCCGACTGATCTCACGCCTGGTTTATTACCTCCTGTTGCCCTCCAGATATCATACGTGTGCCTGCACCTGTTTATCACCTCCATGGTTGCCTCCATAATCACTGGGTCCATTGCCAGGTCTATCACCTCCATGGTTGCCTTCATAATTACCGGGTCCTCCGCCTGGTTTATCAGCTCCGTGGTTGCCTCTATAATCACCTGGTCCTTCGTTTGGTTTATCACCTCCATGGTTGCCTCCATAGATTCATTGTGTCCACCAGCGCAGAGTCTATATACCTCCGTGGTTGCCTCCAAAATCATTGTGTACCTTCACATGGTATATCCCTCCATCGATCACCTCCATTAGGTATGGGTCCACCACCAGCATAACCTCACGTGGTTGCTCAAATACAGTCTTGCCTGATTATCACCTTCCATGGTTGTGTCCCATAATGATCGGGTCCTCCATCTGGTTATCACTCCATGGTTTCCTCCATAATCTTGTTTATGTAAGGTTATCACATTCCATGATGCTCCATATCACTACGTCCATCGCCAGTCTAGGCCTCCATGGGCCATAATCACGTGTCATACATGGTTTCCTTAATGGCGCCCCATAGTCCACCAGGTCCACCGCCAGGTTTTATACCTCCATGGTTGCCTCCATAATCATCGTGTTTCTTGCCGGATTTATCATTCCATGGTTACCTCCATATCACTATTTCCACTCAGGTCATTAGCCTCCATGTTGCCGCTAACAGAGGTTTCATGCTGGTTTAAGTCTCATTGTTGCTCATAGTCACCAGATCCCCCCAGGTCTATGCTCATGTGCTCCATAATCACGTGTTCTGCTGCGGGTTATTCACTTCATGGTGAACCTCCATAATCACTAGGTCCACCCACAGATCTATTACCTCCATGGTTGCCTCCATAATCACCGTGTTCATTGCCTGGTTTATCGCTTCCATGGTTGCCTCCATAATCACCAGGTCTACCGCCAGATCTATTACCTCCATGGTTGCCTCCATAATCACCGTGTTCATTGCCTGGTTTATCGCTTCCATGGTTGCCTCCATAATCACCAGGTCCACGCGCAGGTTTATACCTCATGGTTCTCAATTCACCGTGTCTTTCGTCTGGTTTATCCACTTTATGGTCACCTCCATAATCACTAGATCCACTACTTAGATCTATTTACCCCTGACCACCTTCATAATCACCTGGACCTCCATATTTGATATCATCGATGTGGTTTTTGTCTATAACAAGTTCAATTACAAACACATGGAAGAACATGAGCAACGGTCATAATCACATATATTTCATTTGAAAGCAGAGTAACTATGATTGAGGAACAAGACACAAGTTTTATCATGAGTTCAGTAAAGTTATTGAAAGCAAATGCATGCAGAACTAACCCTTTGTAGAGGACATTGAGGGAGTCTGAGCAAGGTTCCTAGCAGTCGCATGAGAGGGTATGAGAGAAGCCATGGCCAAGAGGCCTAGGATGAGTAAGGTTTCGTGAGAAACCATTTTTCAGAAATATATGTTTGGTGATGAGACGTTGAATTGAAAATTAGTGAGGAAGTGGCCGTATATATAGTAGTAGGAAGGAGGGAGATTGTTGGTGTTGAGCAATCATCTTGCCAATTTAGTCTAAATAATAATAAATTCAGTTTTCTCCAACAAGCTCAAAATTTCCACTTCTCGTACAACACTCAACCTAACGTTCTTTCTTCATAATTTTCTGAAGTAGCATTCATTATGCTTGTATGAACGTAATTCTGTAATGAAATAGTAAAATGTGGAACGAGTGCATATCTAAACTTAAGCTTGCATCGCCATCGTTACAAGCATGAGGTTAACACGGAAAGTTAACATGGGTATATATGGGTCATGAGGATGATATATTGACAACTCTCACTTAACAACACTTACATAACAATTCTAAAATATAATATTAATATTTTAATTATTATTTTTTAATTTATTATGCTAATACATATTATTATATTATTAAAACAGTTGTTGAGTGGGTCTAATTACTCTTTCTCATACCTCATCCCGTGATGTCATTCTGAAACTATTAATATTGTTTCAATGTAAAAATGAGAAATGCATTCAAGTGATAGAAAATGAAATCAACTATAAAATTTATAAAATCAAGTTACTGCTTACTATAATAATTTTTAGTGATTTCTTTTTGAAATATTTAAGTTGATATAACATTGCCAAATGCATATAATTTATAGAAAAAACATTCATTTAAAAATTTGGATATTTTAAAACAAATATATAACAAATTTTATCCGTGCCCCTTACTGTAAAATGATCACTCATTATTATATAAGAAAATATTTGAATAATGATTATTATTAATAAATTATAATTAATTTATGAATTAGGTTTTAAATTAATTTTTATCATCAAGATTTTTATTACTTACATAATTCATCCATATAGATTTTTTTTTATCAAAAAATATTAATTAATATTATAATATTAATGGAGAGTTGAACTTACATCTTTTTTCTTTCACTTACTATTTTATCTTTATTATTAAGTGAACCTTGTATGATTTATTTTTGCATTTATCATATAAGCACTTTTGCTATACTTCCGATTATATTTTGTTCATAATAATTTAAATTTATCGTGTCACTTATGCTCTCGATTATATCTAGATACCCATAATTTTCTCACTCTCTGTCCACTTATTGCAACCTAATTTATGTGTATTTTGCTATCCACCAAACTTCTCACTTCATCCCTCCAAATCCCGAAACCTCCCTATTTTGCTATCCTTTCAAATTTGCAGTACTTCAAAGGTTGTTTTCTTAATTTTCTGTTTAGTTGCAATGAATTTCCAACTTGCCAATTCAGCCTACGTAATAAGTTCGGTTTTTCCAAAAAATTAGCATTTTTGATACCATACTCAACAGTTCTTTTTATTTTTGGATGAAGCATTGTTTGATGTTGATACTTGTATGTCTGTGAATTAGATTGATCTTCAAAACTTTAATCCAATTTAATATCTCAATTCCAACAATGTATGAATTTAATCTTTTTAATTAAATTTTATTAACTTTATTTAACATTTTTTATAATATTAGTTGAATTATTTACATTTTTTGACACATTTCTACTTTATAATGTTAATTTAAAAAAATATTTGAAATATTAAATAAATTTAACAAAATTTGATTAAAATAACTAAATACTTATATTCTTAAATGACTAAATTAGTTTAAAATTTTAAAAACAAACTAATTCTAATTTTTACTTAAAATTAATAAACTAAAAATATATTTAACTTATAAAATAATTATTTCACACAGCAACATAGGGATGAGGTTGTCATGCCCCGTCCACCATCCTCAATCTTTTTAAAAACTTTTAAATTTTTATATTAGAAATTTTTAAAACTTTTTTTTTAATTTTATATTATATTTAGTATATATCCAAATTGATTAAAATTAAATTATGTATCTTTTAATTTTTTTTATAAAATACAATATTTAATGTTAATAAATAATAAAATATAAATCAAATATAATACAAAAAATAAAAATATTTATTAAGTTTTTTTTTTCAATTGTCTTTTGTATTTGTCGGATATCATTTTTACGTGTTTTCTTATTGTTTATGAAGAAAAAGAAGTTACCCAGAAATTTATTATTTCTACTTTATTTTTTCGTTCTTAACGAAAATAAATTATCTCACTTTAATAGTGAAATAGTATTTATTAGTTAATATTATAATATTTTTTGACCTTTATATATTCAGTTTTTATGAATATAGAAAAATAATAATTTATTATGTATTTTTTCATAATTTATTTTTAATTGTGATTTAATTATTATATTTTTATTTTAACAATTTCATCTCTAAATTTTTTATTAAATTACGATAAATTATTTTTTTAAACTTTTTTGGTAAGAGAATATTAATTTAAAGTTCCAACTCTAACATTATATTCTTGATGCTCCTATCATCTAAATTTAAGGAATTTATTAATCATATTTAAATTATATCAATCCGAAAGTCAAGGATGTACTATATACACCTCAGATCATTTCCGCAGCCCAAGCCAAGTAGATTCGGTTTGCATATTCTCTCGACTAGGACAAGTGTGGTAGCTGTTATCTGCATCCCTAATAATTTTAATTTTTAAAGGTACTAAAAAAGTTTATTTTGTATTTTATTTAAAAAAAATGTACAAATAAATATTATAGGTCACACATTGAGGCTTACTTTTTATTTTCTGAGCATCTATATACAAAGATTAAATGGTTTGATAGGTTATGAACTTATTCAATCAACATTAATCAAGTTGTTCAATTAAGCTTTGGCTTGCAATGTTCTATGATTAAATAAAATATAATTATATGAATTGCCTACGGTTATAATGACATGATAATGTAGAAAAAAAGACAAACTTATAATAGTATATATAGATGAACAGAAGTAAAGTGACAAACTACATGATATTTCAGTATGCGGTAAAACTTATAACACTATACTACAAATTATTTAATTGTGAAATATCCATATGATAAGAAAGGTTAGAGGAAAACACAAGCCTCCTTCTCCTCCATCATGCCTCTCACACACAACACGAAATTTTAATCATAGAATATGAAGTACGTAGAACTGCACATTATATAAAATTTATTTGGCTGATTAAAGAAAAAAAAAAAGTAGAACTACACTGTCTTATCTTATTTGTGGGTGAAATCCTCAGATTGTGCAGCAACTTGAGCAATATCCATCAGTCCAAACACAACAGCCATAAGGGCAACGCAATCCTCCTCTGTATCCTCTTTGACCGGGATAGCCACCACCATAGATGCCACCACCGATGCCTGGGATGCCACCTCTGATGCCTCGGATGCCACCGCCGATACCTGGGATGCCACCGCCGATACCTGGGATGCCACCGCCGCCGATACCTGGGATGCCACCGCCGATACCTGAGATGCCACCACCGATACCTGAGATGCCACCGCCGATACCTGGGAGGAAACCATTATTACCTGGGATGCCACCACCGACAATACCTGGGATGATACCTGTGATGCCACCGATAATACCTGGGATGATACCGATAATATCTGGAGTTATACCACCAATGACTGGGATGCTACCGACAGTGCCTGGGATGCTACCGACAATGCCTGTGATGCCACCAAAACCTCTATTACCTATGTCTGGGATTTTAACATCATTTACTAATCTGCCATCACCCGCTTCATTTGTCTCTTTAACAAATTTGCCTGCAAGCACTAACTTAAGTCAACTAACCATATTAAACAGAAAAATGAATTTCGCAGATATATAACTCACCCTCTTCAAAATTCCTAGCTGCCATTGCCACCTTTGGGGAAATCAAAATGAACATGACCAACAGACCTGGGATAAGTAACGCTATCTTTGTCTTCGAACCCATCTTTCTAGGGTAAACTATGATATGCATATACTCAAACGGGATTATCTGTTAATAAAGGATGAGAAAATCAGTGGAAATGCATACTGTTTTATAAGAGAGGATGAGGAAAAAGTTGGCACCCTCTTAATTGGCGCCGTATAGCGTACAAATTCATTATTTTCTAGCCCACTTCCTCTTCGTCTCCATTTTCAATGCTTAGAATAGTTGTGGGCTGTCTGAAATTGAAGTGCAGCAATTACTGTGAGTGACTACGTGTGTGTGCTATGTTATAAAAAGTATAAGTAGCCACCTCATACTAGTTTGATACCATAATATATCACACCTTTGGCCATAGAGAATATAATTTAATGGGTAAAATTATATCTTTAAAATTTATATATGAGTCATTCAACTTTTTTATGTTTCACAGAAAATTCTAACTGCATCTTTGAATTCGGAACAATAAATTTAAAATTAAGATTTCAAATAGTTAATAAAACAGTTGAAAGAAAACGTTAAAATAGAAATATTAGAGTAAATATAAAAATGTTTTATATATATATTGTGTGTGTGTGTTTAATACTTATATATTAATACAGTAATCGGCTTCTATTGGGTAAAGATATTAGACTGGGCCATTTGTCATGGTATGAATTATGGGTTTTTTTTCTTACCTATTTGGAGAATGGGCACATTTTTAGTTTAGTTTATTATACGAGGTGGGATAACCCATGCCTAGTACTTACAGAAGACTTTAACATATAATACATAAGTTTTGTCCATGCACATAATTTTTACTTTTTAATTTAAAAAAAATTACAAATTATCCTTGAGATAATTAAAAAAAAAATTATAGTGTAAAAACTACTCAATAAAACATTATTGATATGGTAATCACTAAGGAGAGAAGACTAACATATAACTACTATATTATAGTTATTCATATAAGTATGTGTTGCATACATATAATCATATAACTAAACTAATAGAATTAAAATTTTTCAAAAGTAAAAAAATTATACATAATAAGATTATCTTAAAACTATACCACTGCATCGTTATCGTTATGCATTGGATCAACTTTTACATCATAATATACTCACATTATTAAGATGATTATTGTAAATAAAGAAAATACATACAATAAACAACTCAGAAGAAAACATAAGTTGATGTGCAAAAAGAGTAATCATAAAAGAGGTATAAAGATATTATTACATATAAATCATTCATAAAAACCAAGACTCATATTATTAGGCTTGATGACCCAGATATATGTATTGATATCAGACTCTAGCACGAGTTATGCATATGTGATGATCTTTGCTGCTCTACAGAATCATTGTCAATGAGTTTCAACTACCACACACAAGGTTAACCCGTTAACATCTTTGACCAAGAGAAAGCCCCTAAACTATAACATTTTGCTTCTCTCACCACATAACTCACTCTTCTCTGCTTGAGATTGAATGGTTATTAGAGCGACATGATAACTCCTAATACTAAATTCATATATTAATACATACACTATTGTGATCACAATTAATCTCTTGGATTAGACCATCATTTTCAGAATAAACATTATAAACCAACCATATTTTAAGATTTACAATATCACACATAAACATACTATAAGAGAAATATAAATAGAGTTAGACTTTGTCAATTTCGCTCACTGAGAATATCTACTCGCTCAACGATTAGTGCCTAAGAGCACACTTGCTCAGTGACTAGATAGTTTGTCTAACGAGACTTGTCTCACCCAGCTATTACCAAATTAATGAGCTCTTTAACTTTCGTTTCGCTCAGTGAGAATATCTACTCGCTCAACGATTAGTGCCTAAGAGCACACTTGCTCAACGACAGATAGTTTGTCTAACGAGACTTGTCTCACCCAGTTATTACCAAATCAGTGAGCTCTCTAACTTTCGTTTCGCCCAATGAGTATATTCTTGTCCAATGACCACGAAGTTAGTAGTTCTCTAACTTTGACTTCGCCCAACGGGTATATTCTCGCTCAACAACAATTAAGTCAGTAATTCTCTGACTTTGCTTCACCCAACGAGTATATTCTTGCCCAAACAAGTTTGCATAACATAATTTTGCAGATTTGATGTCATTCGAACCCCGCCAACTTAATCAAACAACTATTACAGATGCCAAAATATATCAATTATCATATTGTACACTACTCAATGATTCCATTAATCTAAATTGCAATACCAACTAGACAACATACCCAATTTCAAAATACAATTCATGTAAGTCAAATTAAATCCTAACTCAATTTCACATATCCCTATTTCATCGGACAGTTATCAACAAAAATCGAACATCATACTAGAATATAGTTTAGCATTAAATGTATCTATCGGTTTTAAATTAACAATTAGCTTACTTTCCTAAGAAGATAGACCAAAACTGCTTAAGAACTCTAAAAATCACATATAGCGCACATGTAGTTTATTGGTATCTATGAATAACACAAACATGATCAAGGCACACCATTAGGACCATTGATCAATACATACTAGTAAAGAAAATTCAGACCCTACATGCGAGTAAAAAAATGTCACATGCATAGGAAGAACAAAGATAGCAAGAAAAGAAGCGAAATCAACTTACTTTCTTGAAAAAACTTATCAAATAGAAGTGGAGAACTCGTCGCAAGAATCATTGAAGCAATCTTTGATCTTTAAACAAATGAATAAAAGATGAGAAAACCTAAAAAGAAGAGAGAACGCTCGATTTTTTTTTTAAAAAGGATATGTGTTTTTAAATGATAAAACTCATTTATGAAGAAATTATTTATAATTTAAATTTTTAGTATTAAAATAAGCAAGTGTCATAATTTTAAACAAATTATCAATTTTAAAATAAAATTTATTAAACTTTTATACGTCATAAAATAAAAATGGAGTAAGAGAGTATAGAAGTTAAAATATCATTTAATATTTATAGTAATAGCACAAGTAAAAGTGACGATTCATGAGAGAATACAGTGCAATTTCAGTTTTGTCTTAAAACACAGGTCACACAAATACAATGACGCATTATATTATTCAGCATGCACCACCAAAGAAATCCTCCTCAAATAGACATTATTTACAATGATTCTGATAAATTATCTGAAAAACAATAGGAGAGAGGTTTTAATTTCTTTTTAAAGAGATTGGTTACCAGATTATAATACTTTTTCACTATTTCCCTCCCAAAAATTTTCTTTTTTCTCTCTCCATTTAGGTTCTTCTTTTCTAGAATTAGAACACAACAAACCCAAAAGACCGAAACCCTTCGTGCCTCAGCTTCCTCCTTTACCCTTCACTGCCTCAGTTTGCTCTTCATCCTTCATTGCCCTCAAACGTCGGTGAGGATTCTGGCGAGGCTCATCTAATGGCAGCTTCAGTAATTAACGTCCATCACGACCACCATGCGCCTCCTCGGAATAACTTTCTCCTCTGCCCCTTTCTATCTCGCGCTCAACGCAACACCTAAACCCTAAGCTACCTTTTCCGGCAATCCCACTATTGTCAGCATCGTCGGTCCACCACTGCATGTTCCTCCACGGCCAAATCCTCGTGAAACAATGTACAAGAAGGTACACGTTTCAATATATGATTCCTTTTCTTCAGTATGCATTGCAGTATACTTGTTTTCATCTATGTAGTTTTTGTAATAGTTGCCAATAGGTCACTGAACTAATATTGAGGAGTTTGAAGCAAACAATAGGGATCTGGACTCTGAGAAATGAAGGTTTCGGTGAGGTGAGGGCAAGTGGGAGTAAGAGGATGGAAGAGAAAACTCTCGTAATGTTATGGTTTAGAAGCATAAGTGTGGTCAAAGAAAGAAGCAAGTTGGAGAAGGTGGGTACCGGATATTGTAGTATTTTAGTAGTTTGTTTGGGAAATTTCTTCATTTACTTCTCTTAAGTTAAGAAACATTTTCCTAAAAGCAAGTTTTATGCTACCATCCATTCATGGAATTAGAACCTGAGATCGTTTGTTATTGGGCCATATTTATTTCAGAACTTTTGGATCTCTGTTTTCATACATTCATGGAATATTCAGTTCATAGATTTCTAGACAGCATTGAATTAACATGCACCTTTCCTAATTAAGTTTTTGGTTGGGATCTTTATCCTTGGCTTGGTGCCCTCTATTGCATTGTAGGTGGGTAATGCTCTCGGGAATGCTAGCACCAATATTGATGTAAACATTTTGCTACTCTCAGTTCGAATTAAGGTTTTTGTCCTTTGCATTTCTACCTTTTCTCAACTTCTCTATAATTATTTTATTTTATTTTCCCTTAAACGTCCTCTTTACCTCTAATTTGATTGCTAAGCATAAAACTATTAAACACTCCCAGGCTCAAATGCAAATAGCATTTGAATTGTTGTTAATAAGTTAATTTAGTTTACTTATGTTACAATTCACTAAAGAATAACTAGAAGTGAATGCATTATACAATAGAAATAAGCCAAAAAAAACTCTTTCCTGTGTTGCAAAAAATAAAAAGAATAGTTGTTGTGAAAGGTACTGATTGCTTGTGTTAGAAAATATATGTGCAAGATTTGACGTATATGAAATTTATTTTTTGTGGCAGCTAATTCACCGAAAAGCATTAAAGCTAATGAATAATTTTTTTATGGCTTTGTTTTCATCATGTTGTGGTGTTTTCTTTTTTGTGATTAAGATGAAAGTTGCAACAAAAGAAAAGAAAGGAATGCGCACAACATAGATGCTTTTATCAATGAGTAATTATTTGTACTAATTGCAAACTAGTATAATGATTCTCTTATTGTCTTTTGTTATTTTTTTTTATTCAAAAAGTTTGAATTTGAGAATTGTATACTTATTGAGTATACGTGTTCCTCGTTAGATGCATTATTTGAATTATATGTTAATGTTACTGTATAATTGCATTTGTTGTTTTTAGAAGCCCAATGTTATATTAATTAACCTTTTCTATTAGTTTTTGAAAACTCGAAAGTTACTAAAGCATATGTTTCCATGCATTATTACTTTTATGCGTCTAGGAACATTTGGTTTACTCTAATTATGTGTGTTAAAGGATTT